ATGTCACTCCTTCCTTTGACATGTTACACTATAGGGTGGACCTCTGTCCTGCACTCACATGCCCCAGTAGATCACGCTGGGCTTGGGGTGGGGGTTTGAAGCTGGGGGACCACTGTAGTCATTCTCCTATGTGCCCCAGGAGAGGCTTAGGGACAGGTGAGAAGTCAGGCACCTTCTGGGGGAGTAGGGAGGTGCTGATGTTGGTGTGGGTGAAACACAGGCCGCTGAGCAGGTGCTGTGGTGTGACTGCAGGGAAATGGGGAGCCCAACAATGTGGGAGCCAGCACTCACCTGCCTGTGTGGGCTGAGGGCTTCCGTGCCTGGGAGATGGGCTTTGCAGAGCTGTTCAATCCCAGCACTTCTTCCTCATCTTCTGAGCAGGGTCAGGCACCAGCCTCCTTGTCCTTGGAGGGCAGAAGGCCAGGGGAGAGGTGCAGGTGCTGATGCTCTGACCCTGACAGCAGCTGCTTTGTGAGCTGGGTTGGAAACTCATTTTAGCAGTGGTGGGCAGGGAGGGGTTTGAGCCACGCTGGGCCACCTTTGGGTCCCCCCTCAGCCTTTCCACCTCTGTGTTTGCAGGCCTGGGGATGGGCACTGCGTTCCTGTGTGTGTCCTGGTCTCTGCTGGACTACCACCAGTCCCTGCGCTCCTTCCTGCAGGACAAGTACGAGCTGAGCCTGGGCTCTTCCATCGTCTACTTCCTGTGGAACCTCTTCCTCATCTGCCCCCGCATCCTGGCGGTCGCCCTCTTTGCCCTGCTTTGGCCCTACGGTGTGGCTGTCCACTTCCCACTTGTGTGGCTGGCCATGTTCCTCTGGGTCAGCCTGCAGGGCACGGACTTCATGGAATCACCCGGCCCCGAGCAGCTTTACCGGGCTGTGGTGGCTGTGATCCTCTACTTCAGCTGGTTCAATGTGGCACAGGGGAGGACGCTGCACCGCAGCATCATCTACCACAGCTTCATCCTGGTGGACAGCTCTCTGCTGGCCCTGGCCTGGCTCTGGGGCCGGGCTCCCTCTGAGGAGCACTCATACCTCCTCCCGGTGCTCTCTGCTGCCCTGCCCTGCTACCTGCTGGGGCTGGGGCTGAGGGTCACCTACTACAAGTGGCTGCACCCCAACGTGCAGGTGCAGCAGGAAGGCAGATATGACGAGGTGGATGCCAGTGGAGGGAGTGATGGGGTGAAGTTTCGCTCGTTTTTGGAACCAGACCTTGTGAACAGGAGGATGCAGTGGCTGGCCCAGACCCATTTCTCCTTGTCCCAGCCGGCACAGCAGCACTTCCTGAATGGGGCTGTGGAGTCTGCTATCTGAGGGCAGGTCCTCTGAAGGGACATGAGGGGGAAGTAGACTTGTTGGTTGTGCCCCCCAGGCTGCTGTTCTGGACAGCTAGAGGGGTCTGGCAGAAACCAGGGGTGATGTGGAAACACCTGATGAGTCCCAGGGCACACAGCATGGGCTCCCATGGCTGGACCCTCAAGGAAAACCAGTGTTTGTGGTGAGTCCAGCACAATGTAGCATATACCTGCTCTGCTGTGTTAGGTTTTCTTGTTATTTATTACTATTTTTTTTAAAAAAAAATAAAGAGCACTGGTTTATTTTCTCCGTGCCTCTCCTGTGCTTGCTGCTGCCACTCCTGTGCAGGGGTATAGGTTGTGGGTCAGGGAGAATTTTAATTTCTCCATGGTTGTGGCTATCTGACCTTTCTGTTTCTAGCCAGGATTTTCGTCCTTGTGTTAGTTTTGGTGTTAAGGTCAAAGCTCACCTGTTACCATTGTGTTCAGGGAGGGATGGGGAAGGAGGCCTGTGCTGGCAGGAGTGGTTGCAGGGTGGGTCAGGGCTTCTGGCTTATTATGGACACCTCATGCTCCCTTTGCTGCCATTCCCACCACCACAGCCTGGGCTGCGCTCCCAAGGCCATGACCAGGCTGGAGTTGGCCATGGCTTTTCTCAGCCATAGGTGGCCGCTGATGTGGCCAGCACTGGGGTCAGTGCTGTGCCAGCCCCTGGGCACAGACACCCCTTCCCAGATGGGGTTGCCTCCACCCAGCTCGGTGCCCAAACCCAGGCAGGCCCCAGAGCAGCCCCTGCCTTTTGCTGTTGTCCAGCTGGCAGCTGTGGCTCATCCTGGCTGCCCACAGCACTGACCTTGGGCTCTTTCCCCTCACATCCCTCCCAGCACCCTATCCCAGGAGGGAGCTTCCATAACGAGGAGCAGCTGGAATGCTCAGCCCTGCCCAAGGCCAGCAGCACCACAGCAGAGGGTGGAAGAGGGCCTTGTGCAGAAGAAAATGGGAATGTTTGTGCAGGAAGCATCATGTGCCTCCCCTGGGCACCTCAGCAGGGCCCAGGAGCAGGTCCATGGCTCCCCAGGACTCCCCAGGGCCACTGGGGGCTCTGGTGGCTGCACTGTGACCTGTGACACCCTCAATGCTCCAGGTGCTGCCAAGCCTGGCTCAGGCTGTCACAGGGGCAGAGAACAGGCTGAAGCACTGACTATAGAAAATAAAGACTTTATTATTTTTTTCCAGTTCACAGGACAGTTCCCATTACAGACCATGAACAGGCAAAGGCCCCACAGCCAGCAGCACCTGAGACTCGTCCCTTGTAGCACAGCACAAGAGGTGCTGTGGGCTCCAAGGGTCCCACTGCTTCCCACCAGTGCCAGCACAAACATCTCCCCAAGGGCTGTTGAAGGCAACAAGTATTAGTGAATCAGGTGGTTTTTAAAGCCTCTGTGGCTGTGTTGAAGCCGAAGGGGAAGCCAGCAGCACCCAGGTGAGCTCAGGTGCTCTGGGCCTGCAGGCTGACTGTCCTTCAGGTGTTCAGGTTTGCTCTCCCATTACCCCTGACCTGACTGTAGCTGAACTGGTGACAGACACAGGAGAAAATCAATGCTTGGATAGAGATGATGTTCTTGCCTCGAGACAGGAAAAGGCTTAAATTCAGCCAGTAGAGGAAAAAACAAAATAGCCAGGTCACCCCTTTATTAACAAACACAGAAATGTACCATCAACCTCCTGTTATAAAAGTACTTTACATACATTCAAGGAAACATCATATAAATACCAGTATGAAATGTCAGTGGCTGCGAGTTCCACACTCAGCTAAAATTTTACCAACATCTTAAAATTTCCTTAAAACATTTGAAGTAAACAAACACAAAGCACAGCCAGCTGCCAGGCAGCTCAGGCCAGCAGGTCCAGCACCTGCTGCCAGTGCCTGGGCAAACCCAGCCCCTCTCCAGCACGGCTCTGGTCACGGCTCCTGATGGGAGTGAAGCACTCGGGCTGCTCGGCCGTGCCGGTGCTGGGAGGTTAAGGCACAGGTTTTAATCCCAAAGTTCAGCCAGCTGGAGTACGAGACGTGCTCCTGACAGGCTGCTGCACAGGTGGGACAGCTCCCAGACCTGCTTACAGGAGACCTTTGGATGGGCTGAGGGATGTTCAACATCAGCACAGATTCTTCTGATACTACAGCTGAGCCCTGATCCTCTGGTGACATTTCCAACCCTGGGAGCAACGAGGTTGCTCCTCACCACAGCTCTGGCACTTCACAGGGACCTCAGAGGAACTGGACTCTATGGACTCAGCAGTAAGGGAGCTGGAGCTGCCTCAGCTGCCTTGGAGCAGGTGTGAACACCTTTGGTGTTGACAGACATGGGATGAGCAGTTCAGCTGCTGGCAGGCACAGCTCCTACATGAACAGCATGTTCCTGCTGCAGAGCTCCTGGGGAGACACAGACCCAGCATCCACCTGGGATCAGAGCACAAGGCCAACACCTGGCAAGGAGCTGAATGGAAAAGCAGATCACTCCTGACTCCAGTGACCACCCTGGAGAAAGAGAATTCTAATTTAATTAATCTAAAAAAAACCCCAAAAACCCAAAGAGAAACTGGGGCTGGTACCATGTGAAACAGACCTCCCAGGTCCAGTCCCTGAGCACGAGGTCTCCAAACCCCTGGCTCTAGGCACCTTCTGCCCCATGGTCACTGGAGCTGGCCCAGGAACAGCTGCTCCCAGGGCACAGCAGAGCCTGTGCCAAGCTGGCCCAGCAGCTCCTTGATGGAAATTAACCCTCAGTAATGAATGCCATGAAAGGAATGCAGCAAACACATCCCTTCCCTGCCTGTAAGGGCACAGCAAATGGGTCCTCCCTGCAATGACAGACTTTCAGCCCAGTCTCCCGATGGCTGATGTGGGGCTGATGACCACGATCTGGTGGGGTCTGCGTGCAGCCACAGGTCTGGCTCTGCAGGAGCAGCAGCAGCAGGTTCTGGGGCACAGCACACACCTGTCCTCAGGGCACCTGATCTGGTGCCATCAGGGTACATGGGGAGACCACCAAACACAGCCTGAGTTGGCACAAAACCAGCCCCTGTGCCAGCCCCAGTCCCTAGCTGGCTGTTCCTGACCAGGGCAGCTGCAGGTCACTGACTCCAGCCTCTATTCTGACACAGTAGCAGAAAAATCATCATCACCATCCCTCCCAAGTGCTCCATGCTGCCAAGTCACAGTGTCTTAAAATTAAGTCCCTCTTAACAAGGTGTTTGTTCTTCACTATGTAGTTAAGCTAATGCAAAGAATATAAGAAAACTGAATCTGATTCTACTAAAAGGAACTTACAAATAGGGTCAGGAACACAGAGGTGAAGGTTATACTGTAGCCAGAGCCTATTCTGCAACATTCTTGAGGATTTAGGAATTAGGTTATTCCTACTCCAGGTGAGGATGCTGTTCACATCTGAGCAGTCTGCACCAGTCTGCTGTACAGGCAGTTTCATTTTTCTTTGCAGGGAAAATCTGTGAGATGTACAGTCCAGACCAAGGCTGGAATCCAGTGATCTCCTGCTGGCTAAAAGGGCTTGTGCACACATTGAGTAGAAGCCACTGGGATCAACTTGGAACACCAATACTTGCCTCTACAAGGAACCACATATCCCAGAAGCATTCCCTTACCTTTTTATCTTCCAGTAATCCCACACTGAGGAAATAACATAAGGACATTGTAATAAATAACTTGTTTTGAACACCCAGGGAAGGAGAGAGGACACATTTTACAGCAATAGAGGTATTTTTGACATTTTCATTAATATTTCCTATGAAAAAAACCATAGCTCTTCGGCTTTGCAAAACAAGGGAGGTTTAAGCTCTGCCATCAGCATTTTCCTATAAAAATAAAGTTTTGTGTTTACTTGGGTTCTACAACTAAGCTGAATAGAAAGGAGAAGGCTCTTAAAAATAAATCTGCTGTTTTATGGCCCCTCCCTCTGGAGACACCTGCCAGAGGCATTCAGCTGGCTCTGTAAGTCCCTTCTGCAGACAAGCTCTAGCACTTCTGAGTCTAGGGCTTCTTTACAGGACACCTCTGGACTTGGCAGGGCCCGTGCTCCCAAGGAACAACCTGCTATCATACTCCACTGTACAGTTTGCATTAGGTATGTTTTCTTCATCAAGCTGAAAAGTGACTCCCCAGACATGTGAGATTTCTGCCCCCCAGTGATGGAGAGGGCCTGTGGGAGCTGCAGTCACGTCTTTGCTCCAGCTTCTTACAGGAAGTCTAACTCAAGGGCTTGGTGAAGGGACACGAGGTCAGCGTGATTTGTGATCCTCCAGAAGGGCATGTTGTGCTGTAAAAAGAGAGTACAGTCAGGTTTATGCAGGGATTTTCAGCTGAGGTGGAAGCTGGGTAGAGCTGCAGGGCTGTGCAGTGTGTTGGTTCTGAACACAGCTCTCTCAGCACAGACCTTGGACACGTGCACATCTGTATCTGAAGCCCATCTCATGTGCACATCTGTGTGTGCCAGGCACCAGCACTGCCAGCTGCTTGTGATGGAAACCCTGGCTGTGAGCTGCTGCTGCACCCAGGAATGGCAGGGTATTTCCAGGGCCCCAGGAAACCTGCACAGGCAACAGCTCTGGCACATGGCAGAACGTGTGAAGTCTGCAGAGTCAAGGTCCTGACAGTCATCTTTGCACTTTACTACTAATCAGCACAACTGAACAACCCATCCAGGCCTGTCCAAATCAATCAAACTCTTTGCTCCTTGTTTGCAATCCAGCCTAATGGCAGGTGCTGTATTGTTCTGCTGCTGTTCCTGAGCCCTGACTCCTCCACACTCCTGAGAAACTGCAATATCCTGATAGTCACAGGCTGTGATCAGCATATAGAACCATAGAATCATCAAGGGTGGAAGGGTGGATTCCAAGATCTCTGAGTCCAGCCTTTCAACATGCTACATCCAACATACCACACTAAGACACTGCTGACAGGGACAGTGTTATGTGCAATCCTTAATAGTAAAAGCAACTTTAAACACCCAGGAGCCAGAAAACTGCCCATCTTAACAGAATGGAAGATCTCTTGCATCAAAGGCAAACTTTGCTCCTGGCTGCCCTGGCCTGAAGAGTTCAGCCTTGGAACAAGAGTCCTTGCAGGCAAAGCCTGCCAGCAGCTTCCCCTTGCATTGTCCCACCCCTGCAGTCAGACCCACCTGCTTGGCTGCGACCTCCTCATCACGCCCATCTCCAATCACCACGTAAGTGACCTTCTTTCCAAACCGTGACACGATCCTCTCAAAGCAGCTCTCTTTACCTGCCAAAGACAATCCCCCTGTAAGGAGCCTCAGGCAGAGAGAAATGGAGCCTGAACAGGTCCCTTCCTCCCAGTACAGAAACACTGAGCAGGGGCAGCACCCAGTTCAGCTCCTGAGGCCAGAAGCCTGGAGCAGGTGGACCACAGCACGGAGCTGCTCAGCTGCAGAAATGGCAGTTCCCCATGTAAAAATCCCAGCTAATCCTCAGCAGATGCCACAGAGCTGGCAAAACCCCTTACCTATTTTTGTAGCACTATAAATATTTTCAATGGGAAACACCTCGCCCAATCCATACAGAAGAACTTTGGCAAGAGCTGGCATCAGTTGGGTGGTTGTGATCAGGATGTTCTCACAGTTTTTTCTAAAAGAAGAAAAACACTTGTAACAGCACATCTACAGGCAGTGCTGCCAGGACTGCTCTGGGAAGTCTGATCAGCTTCCTCATGTGCTTTGCTGTCCTGCTTTCAGAAGGCATTTTAGGACAAGTTTTTGTAATTTTTGCTTTGCTTCTGGCAGAATTCCCTGTCAGAAAAACCATTTGGTGAGCATTAGCCTTGCTAATTACAGTTGTTGCAGCAGAGAAACAGGGGTGGAGTTCCTGCCCTCAGTCACTTGGCACCTGTGCCAAACAGCAGCAGCAGTGATGGGGCAGTGCCCAGCACAGCACTGCACCCGAGGGCCAGAAAGGGCTGAGAAAGCCTCACAGGCACTTCCAGGTTCCATACCTGGACTGGATGAGCAGCAGGGATTTTAATGCAGTTTCCAGCCAGGAATCTGTCAGCACTTCTATGTCGGTCCTCAGTCGCTGCAGAGCTTCCCTCTTCTGTGGGCTAAGCAGGCCTGGAAGGTGAGGAACACATGTTTGCCTGGCAAGTCTGTCACGGGGAGGGCTGTCCCCCAGTGCCTGCTCTGCAATAAGTAACAGAACTGAAGGCCTCTGGAAGCTGGACTGTCTCAAAGAAATGAAAGAAACCAGCTCCCAGTGACATGAATGAGCCCAGACATCCATCCAGGAGTCTGACCATGGGGAACTGGGCAGACACTTGTCTGCAATTATTTCAAAGCATTTCTCAGGATACAGGCAAAGGCTCTTCTCTCGTACAAAGCACTCACAGTAGCAGGGGTCCAAGGCCACAGAGCAGGAGAAGGAATTTCTACAGCCACCCTCTCTCTCTGCTTTCTAAGGACCCTTTCCACTTTATTAAGTGGAATATCTTAATATTAAGATATTAAGCTCTTTCATGTATAATTTTTAAAATCACCCTCCCTTCTTTTATTCCCATGCTTGTAATTGCTTTTAGCTATCATTTTCTTCAAGCCTCCAGTTTTGAATTAAAAGCAGACAGAAGTGGAGACCACTTCTGCTCCTGACAGTGCTCAGATCTCGGTGCAGGTGACCACTCACCTCCAACGTTAGTTTTGTATTTGTTGTAGATCTCGCGTACCCTGCGGTAGCGGAAGGCCAACTTCCTCATCCAGTCCACTCCTTGCACACCCACCGAGGAGCTGTGGTTTGCATTGCTTCCCGAGCCACTGAACCCATCCGTGGAGAAGTTGTAGTTGCTGTTCCAGGAAAGCAGATGCGTTAGGTGTGCCACAGCAGCAGAAGCACCACGGCATTTCTGGCAGGGGTGCCGATGGCAGTGCTGGCAGCAGCTGGAGAACACCTTGGAGAGGAGCTGCACAAGCACCGTGGCACCTGGAGAGCAGAGCCTGGCTCTTGTGGGAATGCTGACATCCAGCTACAGCTGCTGCTGGCTCTGAACTGCTGCACTGATACAACCCCTTTCACATCCTCCACGACAAAACCTTCCTTTACTCTTTGGCTGCTCACTCCTCTGCCATACGGAACATCCTGCCCACTGACCCCTTCCTCATCCTGCAGCAGTTAACCCCAGCACATCTTCCAAACATAGCATCCATGTCTTTCCACCACAGCTGCAGCTCCACAAGCAGATGAGCTGCTTCACCAGTTTATGACTGCATAAAGCAAGTCCTGCTTCACCACTTTCCCTGTATTTCCTTCTCTCTGACAGATTTTTCTCAGACTTTTTAATGAGCCAATTCAGCTCAGTTAAAAAACCTTCCTCCCCATGTTTGATAGTGAGCACCATAAGGTCTCAGAGGGATGCAAACCACAGGAGGACTTTCAAAGGTCAAGATAATGGAACTACAGGATGGTATAGGTTGAATAGGACCATCAAGATCATCTCATTCTAAACCCCTGCCACAGGCAGGGACTTCTCCCACTAATCCAATTAGAGTGACCATTGGATTAGGTTACTAATCTAACGCTGTCATCATGAGATCTGATGAGTTGTTTCTCCATTCCTCACTTGTCATTGAGCACAGAGGCAGCATTCAACAGTAATGTAACAGTAATGGACAATGTAATTCACAATATAATTTCAAAACTCTTAATATGCTTTGTAGGTCTTCAAAGAAATGCCTCCCAGCAAACACTTTGCCAGGTTTCATCCCCTGCACAATGCTGAGCTCCATCCTTTAACCCCACCTGCATTTGAAGGCTTCACAAAACCTGATTACATCAACAATACATCTCCTGCATTCATCACTACAATACCTTAGATCTTGGCCATTGTCATCAGATGCCACATCTTCTATGTGTACCTGGTCACACTCCTGTTCAAGACAAAAAAAAACCCCAAAAATAAAGTCATGTTGTGGTAATCCACACTGACATTTGCTGATTAAAGAAACTGTGATAGAAATCAATCCCTTCACACCTCTCAGCAGCAACAAGCCATGCCACACTGCCTCCACAAACCCACAGAGCTTACACTAGCTTCATCTGCCACTACTGGATTTTAATTCCCAGCCCCTAGAGGTCCTTGCCCAGCCTGGGATCTTAAGTACCAGAAAGGATTGAAACAAGAGCATTTCTATGGCATTTTGAGTTGTCTGCCAAAAAAAGAACTTCAACACTCACTGAATAGGTTGCACTCAAAGCTCACTTGTCACTTGAAAATCTTCTGCCATTTCAAAAAAGCGAACACAAAACAAAAATACCCCAAAAGCACATGATTTGGTCAAGCATTGCTATTCCATTTTCTCAACAAGGGTCAGTAGAGCCACAGCAGTGTGGTAGCACCGACTCTAGTGCTGAGTGCAGCTGATTTAACTCACTAACCAACACCTACAGCAGTGCGTTTGTGGCTGAGCACACAGCTAAAACATTGATGAGTCCCCTTCCAGCACAAGCACAAATTTGGCATTTTCATTTATTTTTTTTGTTGCTTTCTTCCCTGAGGTAAAATGAGGGAGGTAACTCATCACCACCTTTGCCAGTGGTCACAGCCACAATGGAAATAGCATTTAAGTCTCTGTTTGCATCAACAAAAGCATCAGTGACACATCTACAACTAACTGGTACCTGTTCATATTCACCCTTCCTAAGCCTAAAACTAGTGCTGTCAATTCTGAAAATTACATTGAGTGGAGTTACATCAAAGACAACACAGAAGAAAAAGAAAGGGTGTTGTGGGTCCTGCATGGGTACAGCCTGCTTGTCTATGCAGCATGTCCTTCAAAGCTGTTCCACAGCCAAAGTCACCTCCTGCATTCTGTCCTTGGCTTAGTCACAGCCCTTGAGAACAGACATCCTCAAAACTGCCTTTTCCTCACATCTCTGCTCTCCATTTCAAAAGAAAACCAGTGGAAGCAAAGTGTTCACCAGTCCAGAAATGCAAATACAGAATGGATCAGACATCACTCTATTTATTTGTACAGATTCAATCAAAAACCCAGAAGAAACTGAGAGAGCTCCTGACACTAGAAGGCTGCAGAATGCCTGTCTCAGCTAAGAGTGCACCTCTGATTTGGCTGTGCTTACAACAAGCAGTTAAGAGGCTCTGAAGCACAGAGCCCTCACAAAGAGTGAGGTCTAATTTTGACATGGTAATGTGGAATTCTGCTTTTCAAACACATTTGCCATGTACCTCCAAGTCATTGAAAAACAAGTGAGTATCAGCAACTTCAAAAATCATCTCCTCCATGGACAGACCTGAGCCAATCACTAGAGTTGGATCCTGGAAAAACACAAAAAGAAAATGTAAATGCACCGTAGATATAGGCAGAAGGAATTGTCATAAATCTCTCATCAGTTAAACTGCACAGAGTTTTCCACTCTATATCAAACCTGGCATAATTCCAGCTACATTCAATGGTGTGAACTACATTTTCCGTAATATTTTAAACAACTCACTTAAAAAAAACCCAGAAAAACCAAATACTTCAATGCTCCACAGAAGACTGATACATTTTCACAGTCAGCACATACAAAACATTCAAAAATCTACAATGTATTTTGAAGGAGAAAAACCACTTCTTTTCCCTAAGTACAAGGACCTCAGTTATTTATTCAATTCTGCATGCTCATTTCAATGAGGATGAAACCAGTTTGACAGACTTGCATTGTAAGAAGGGACATGTTGGTGATGTCCATGTCCTAGCTCTGCATAAAGCCAAATTTAGTATTTTCCCAGCCCCAAACTGGCAACAACTTAAAAGTATCACCATAGAGAGTTTAAAAAACCCCAAACTATTCCTTTTCCAAAGACTAACATTTAATTCTGCATGACAGAAATGGGTTTTCTTCAATGGAAGAGCAGTATTACCTTGCCATATTTTTGAGCATAAGACCCTGTGAGAAGAGAGTGAAAGATGATGATGGTCTCATCCAGGTCCCAGAGAAACACCCGCTGCAGAGAGAACAAGAGTAGGTTAGAGCTGAGATATTCCAGGCACTGAACTGCAATAAAGGAACTGCCATAAAGGAAATTTTAGAGTTAATTTTGTGGTTAGCTGCAGTATGCTTTAACAGGTATGAACAACAGTCATCATCTTACAGGCTGAATACATTCAACTCTTCAGTTTATTGCAGTGAAGTTTATTTACTGCCATGGGCAGGGTCACCTTCCACTACACCAGACTGCTCCAAGCCCCATCCAACCGGGCCTCAGATACTTCCAGGGATGAGTCAGCCACAAATTGCCTGGGCAGCCTGTGCCAGGGCCTCCCCTCCCTCACAGGGAAGAGATTTTTTTCCTAATATCTAATCTAAACCTATTCTCAATTTGAATTCATGGGGACTGACCTTTTAGTAGGGGCTGCAGTGACAGAACAAGGGGAACGGTTTTGAACTCAAAGAGAGTAAATTCAGATTAGATGTAAAAAAGACATTTTTTACAATTAAAGTGGTGAGGCACTGGCACACAGTACCCAGAGAGGTGGTGGATGCCCCATTCCTGAAAACATTCAAGACCATGTTGGAGCTGAGTGGGCTGACATCTATTTGAAGATGTTCCTATTCATTGCATGGTGGTTGGACTAGAGGACCCTGAAAGGTCTCTTCAAGCCAAACCATTCTATAAACACCTTCCATTTCCACAGAGATGGAATGAAAAAAAGGGAGGAGAATTTTCACCATCACACTATTCTGCAATGCTACCTCTGGAAAAGATCACTATTTACCTCCAGTTCACTGTCCTGTGAGGAGGAGGTATCTGCTTTCCTCTTCCCTCTGTTCTTTCCAGGGATGTTTTTTCTTGCTTGCTCATCTAACTCTTTACTAGCTGTTGCTCTTGGTAGCAAAGGACTTGTGGATGCATCTCCTGGAAGAAGAAAAAACACACAGCTCTCATCCCCTTGTGTCTCAAAACAAACACCAAACAAACAGCATTGACCACAAACCACCTTAGCAAAAGCTAAGATGCTACTTTACTATGTGGATGCAGTAGTAGTTGAACCCTGATTAGAACATAAACCATGATTTCTTTGTCCCATCATTTCAAAACAGCTCTGTCTGCTCAATTCAGTCCCCCAGAACTGAGCTATTGCAAGAGCTACTGCCCTGCAGAGCAAAGCCAGAGCAGACACCCTCCATCCTAAGGCCTGGAACCCTGCAGTCATTCACTGCCCTGGACTTACTCTATCATTCAGCTATGTCTATTTTATTTTAAAGACAGTTGAATATAAAAGAGCAACAGTAATGATGTTGGCCATGGACACACAGCCTGGCCATGACTGACAGGGACACGTGAGAGAGCCTGTTCTGCTCCTGGTAAGAACACCCTTCCCAGGGAAAGAGTACACCACCACCACCTCCTCCTCCTGCACCTTTCTCCCCTGCAGCCAGGTGTTCAGGGTACTCCCTCTCCCCGGGGCACACAGAGTACGTGCTAGGTGTCCTGGAATGGCAGCAGTAGAAAACTTCTGTTATCTAAGTTTACCTGGCCCACCTTAATACTCTGCACACCAGTGAGACCAGCCTGACAAGTGTCCCATCAGGCCCAGCATGACAAGATGCTGCAGGCACCCTTTGGAGATGTTTCTCCACAGCTGCCCCTTGCACTGTTTAGCGGAGGTATTTTACAGAGCCCGCCTCACCAGAGGAAGGTCTCTGCACCGCCCGTGCCAGCACCAGGGCATTTGGTTTCTCCTCTGGGTATGTGGTGGTGGCTAATGCCAAGCTCTCCGTGCTGCTGTCTGCTGGTGGCACCACGCCGAAGCCTGAGCTCGGGTAACAGCTCTGGTACTGACTCTGGCCGAGGATCGTGTACGTAGGATATTCCTGTTGGAGGAAAGAGTTAGTGATGGTAGGACACCTCATTCAGAAAACACTCTGAATCAGGATGATTTTTGTATTAGAATATCCTGTCCAAGAAAAATCCCAGCAAGAACACAGTCTGACTATGCTGTTTCATTCTGCTGATGTAAGATGTTCCCAAAAAGGGCTGAGAGCTCTCGCTGCCCAATGGCTCCTGCACAGGCAGGTTTTGCAGAGGAGACCAGTGATCACTGGGCCATTCCTCTGCTTCCAGTGTCTGCAAATACTAATTCATAATGAATTCATGAAATTACAGTAACAGGGGAGTTGAGTGGATGCCAAGACATCAGTGCACTCTGGAATGTGTGGTTTTGTCTTGCATTGGACAGTGACAAAAAGTGACCTTGGGCCTCGCTGAGGGCACAACTACAGGATAAATGGCCCTGCCATCCTGACTTCATCAAGCAATAATTCTGCATGCTGGAAGGTATCCATTTATGAAAACTACTTAAATAATTTAAGAGATCACTCAGCATCTGGAGCTGTGATTAAGGATTTTGACTTCTGCTACTCAGTAAAAAAAACAGTGACCCCAAATGTCACATCACACCACTCTGGTACACAGTGCTGTCTTGACTCCCTTGAAGAGCAGCCTGGGTTTGTGAACCAGGTACCTTGGTCTGAAATACCGAAAGAAAATCTTCTTTTCTCCTTACAGTTCCAAAAAAGTTTATATTTAAAAAGCAACAGCATAAGCACAGAAGGATTTTTGTGTATCCATTGCGTTTTCCACAGTTCCTGTATTCTCTTTCTAAAAAGCTGGACACTGAAGGCTTCCTTTGTATATCCAAGTACTCAAATGGCAATTAGACACCCACAGAGGAAAAAGGCAGGGGGTAATGGTCTTTGCTAGCTTGCAGGGCTGTCTCACTTTGTTCTAGTGAGAACATCCTGATTCTACCATCAGAATGCACACCCTACTTTATTGGGTTGGGGTTTTATTTGTGTACAACCTCATTTTCTATTCTTCTCGAGGGAGAATAAAGGCATCCAAAAAACATCCACCTCTAACCCTCCTCGCAGGTTTAGTCCTCTAAATAGCTGAATTGTTTCTTCCTCTCCATCTCTCTTGCAGGGATCTCAGTTTTAAGACTCACCTCACAATTTGCAGATGAGGCAACAGCTTCGAACAGATGAAGTGAGTTTGTTGCAAAGGCCAAAGGGAGAAGCACCGTGGTCAAAGAGACACAGGAGGAATTTGGTGACTTTGAGTTACACACTGAGCCCCACAACTCCAGTACCACTGTGCTCCACTTGAAGTGACATTTCCATGTTAGTTTTGAACAAAGTGTTAAACAAAGGTAAAGGAGATGGTGCACATAAATTGACCAAGGAAGTTTTACCTGTGAGATGCTGGCTACTGCTGATGTGGAAATATTGACAACAGTTGAGGATGTAGAGACTGGACTGGCATTGGTAGTTGATGCTGTAAAATTGAGAATTACTGCATTAAATATTCTAGAAAAGCTTAAGAAATGAGAAGTTGTGAAATAAATACTTACTGCTTCCAGCAGCACTCTGCTACTAACAGGCAAAAAAGGACTGGGCTGTATTTTGACACCAGCCACATTTCAATTGGGTTTACAGGAAAGGAGAGCTAATATATCTTCAAAAACAGTCCTTTCAAATGGTTCAGAAACCTTTTCTCTCCACGGTTGCTAAGCAATTGGTGTAGAATTAGAAAGGTTTTACATCCTTACTACATGTTTTGATAAAACAATCCCATTCTGATCAATCAGTAGCAGTTGAAAATTAATCAGAATAAATTCAATCAGTAGCAGTTGAAAATTAATCAGAATAAATCGAGAAAAAGGACATAAATGTGTTTAAATCAGTTCTGTTAAAAAAAGAATCTGCATCAAACTTAGAATTCTTAATCTAATTAGATTTCAAATTTAAGGAAACATTAAGAATGTTTCAAATAGTAGAAAAAGAGTGTTTCCTGCTGGACAAAATGAGCATCTCTCTCAACATCCCTCTGTCTAGAACTGCTATTTGGATGTAACTTTCTGAAATAATCTGTCAACAGCTCATAGGACAAATTCTTATAAATGTGCAGTTGTTAGTACCAACTTGAAGATGTTTCATAAACTTTGTGGCACTGCATTCCAATCTCCCAAAACACAGAAGAAGCTGCTAGAACAGCACTTGGGAACACCAGTTGTTTAACAGTTTTTGGGGGGCTGCAGACACAGGGCCACTACATTAAACATTCCTCAACATGGGGTTTTGAGACTCACAAGGATAGCAACAAATAATTAAATCAGCAGGAACAAAACCAGATGCCACCAAGAACTATTTTCTGTCCTAAACCACCTTCTTCTGCACACAAATAAAACTAAAAAAAATCGCTTTTAGATGCTTATGTAAAGAATTGCAGAAATTCACAGTATTCCTATTTTACCATGCCTCTAAGAAAACCCCTTATTTTCTGCAAATACCACCATGCAGAATTCACCCCAAGAACTTGAGCTTCTGAAGGCTTCAGTCCTGCTCCCCCAGGGAAACAGACCCACCATGAACTCCTGAAGAGTGCATGTTGTGCTATGGAAAGCACCAATACTACCTGGGGCCTCCTGGAAAGAGGAATGGATCCAAAACATGCCTCCAAAAAGTTAAGAAAACAAAAGAAACAGATCTTAAAAGATGTGTAGAAACCCACAGTATTTACAGGAGATGAGAAATACAAAGGGTGTCATCTCTGTGGAAGCAGAAACAAAGGGAAGTAATTAGCCCCAGAAATATTTAGAAAAAGACAAAAGGGCTGCACTGAACAGCAATAATGGCAATGAAGACACTCAAGGACCCACAGTAGCTCCACAGCTACTTGAAGCCCAGCTGTGCAAGCCAAGGAACCTGTCACAGACACTCCTCATAAAGTGCTCAAAAGCACTCCTCATAAACACTGCTCAAAATCAGGGGGCAGATTCCAAATAAAGCTCTTTCCAATTCCACATTATGGAAACTGTCAAGGCTGTTACCACCTTAAGAGAAGGTCCCTGCCTAAGCCCCTGTGAGGCTTTCCAGAAAAGACCCTTGCTACCTGAACAAAGCTGCCATGCAGCTGGGGAAATGAGAAAAAAAGTTTCAAGGTTTGGTGTTCCCTCACATGAACTTCATTGTGTGTTAACTCTGCTCTCCCTCCAACAGGTTCTTTTAACAATCCTGTACCTAAACAGTGCTACAGATCAGATTTTTTCAAATAATTCCCACCACACAGATGAACCAATTGTTTCTGACCTGTGGGCCACTTTCTTTTACCTGTGAATGGGCCAGAACCATTCAAAAATACTTGGCACAGATTTGCCAAACATGACTTCAAGGGCTGGGGTTTAAAGACCAGCAAGCACAAGTACTGGATTATTAAAGATGCCACGACTCTTTTCCTCTTTTCCTTCCTTTATCCCCTGCTTCAGACCTCATCCTCAGACATTACATCCCTGCCTCCCCTACCTTATTAATCCCAATCTGCTTTGCTTCATTTTCAAATAGCCAAAACCAGAACCATGCACTGAAATTCCCCTCCAGTGGGTCAGCATTACAGTACGACTATGTCTCACCCTGCTGATTTGAGTGGACAGAAAAGACAGATATTCCAGGGATTACTATTAAAACAACTCTGTCCATCCTTCCAGCTCTGCTCTCCACCACCTCCCTGGCACCAGCCCCTGAACTGACCTGACCCCTTGGTTTGCTGCTTGAGAAGGAAATGTAGCAAATCTGAAAAAAGAAAATTTTCCTGCAAGTCTACAAAAAGTTGTTCCAAAAAGCAACAGCATTTGCACAACTGCAGTGAATTTTACACACTTTGGGGTGACTTGTGCACACTTTCAGAGAGCAGCCTGCAGGGAAAGCTCTCACATCACACATTCTCTCAGCAGCACAGATTAAATCCTTTTCCTGTGTGAAAGCCTGACAAAGCTGGGGTTGAGCAGTCTGCAGAAGATTCCAGGGAGACCTTAGAGCCCCTTCCAGCATCCAGAGGGGCTCAGAGAGAGCTGGAAAAGGACTTTGGACAAGGGATGGAGTGACAGGATAAGGGGGAATGGCTTCCCATTGCCAGAGGGCAGGGCTAGATGGGATATTGAGAAGGAATTCTTGGCTGTGAGGGTGCCCAGTGAAGCTGTGGTTGCCCCATCCCTGGCAGTGTCCAAGGCCAGACTGGACATGACTTGGAGCAACCTGGTCTAGTGGAAGGTGTCCCTGCTCATAGCAGAGAGGTTGGAAGTGGATAATCTTTAAGGTCCCTTCCAGCCTAAACACATTTGTGATTTTATAATTTTACAGAGCAAGGCCTGACATGGGTCTGCCACCTCAGCAACCCCAGGGAGCCACCTGCTCCCCATGGGACATCACTGGGAAATCTGGCACGGGTCACACTGTGCAGAACCATTCCTGACCCTTGGCAATTAAAGCTGGTGTTAATTAAAGCAATTAAAGTGACACAGTAAGTCGCTCTGCTGGTGGGACTACAGGAAGGAGGGTTATGCTGGGAGGAAGAGAGTATTTCCAGTATTGCTTTCCTTGTGTTATGAACGTGAAAAGTGAATTAAGAATAAATATTACACTGGGCCATTGACTGTCATAATAATGCAAGCTGAGCAAGCACCATGACATACCACATGACTTTTCTCCATGAGAGATATGCTAGAACCCACTCACTGCTAATTTTAAGAATTATCCTTCTTTTCTTGGCTCTCATGAGACCACATCTGGTTATGGCATTCAGTTTGGCCCCTCAAGCACGTGAAATCTGTTGATAAAATTTGGTGGGTCTGGTAAAGAGACACAAAACCAGCAAAGCATCTGGAGAACCTGCCCTGCAAGGGGCATTTCAGGGGAGAGGAACTGTCCAGCCAGAAGAGGTGGTGGCTTTGGGGGCTTGATGCAGCCTGTTGGTACCTGCATGGGTATTAGTGAGAGGACAGACACAGGCTCTTTTTGCAGGTGTGCAGCAGCAGGAGGAAGAGAGAAACGGTCAGAACATGAAACAGGGAAAGCTCTGAGTTGGCAAAAGAGAAAACACTTCATTGTACTGACAGCCAGTTCTGGAACTGGCAAAATTTCCATCCTTGGAGATCCAACTGGATAAAGCTCTGAGCCATCTGGTTCTGAATTCTGTATCAACTACTCTTTGAGCAGGAAGCTGAACTAAAAATTTCCTGAAGTCCCTGAATTATTCTGTGAAAATATTCCACAAGAAATTACTAGTCCCTGAAATGCTTTATAAAATTTCCAGAGAAAGAGACAAATTTTCACAATTCCTCACCAAAACATAAATGACAAATTCCAGCCTAAAGAAAAGGTATCAATTTGTACACATATGCCATAAGCAACAACATTCCATTATTCAGCTATCTGGCACATTCAATCCTAAAAACTACAGTGGAAGTTGGTGAAATTCAGCACCTGCTTTCTTAGATGTGGCACTTCCAGCAATTATAAAATATTTGAATGGTAGTTCTATACTGAGAAATTCACTTCCTAGCAGCTCGACACTCGGTGTGTGTGATATGCAAGAGCCATCTACCTCCAGAAGGAATTAAAAGCAAATGTTTAAAAATCTCACTGCAGTCAGCACATTTCCTGACATCAAGCTAAAGACCACAAAAAGAGAAATGCAAGAGCATTCCCAGAAAAGCATGCAGGAACACAACATGTAGTCTCTTTCCCCTTCCCACTTGCTCTTCACCCTGTTCAGCCCAGCAGCATGGCACGAGCCAGCCTGGAGCACACACAGGTAAGAGGCAAATACAAACCCAGAAACACAAAGGCACAAAGAGAAAAGAGGCAAAGCATGAAGAAGCATGCACAAACCAAGGACAAGCGTGCAAGCCTCTCTAGTTTGGTATCTGGACTCATTTAGGTGGAGAGAGATGCAGATAAAAACCATGCCAAGTTACCTTCAATGGAATAAGAATAATGTGCTGGGCTGGGCTGGCTTGTGGTTAACCCTGTAGTGCAGGTAAGAACACTGTGCTGACTTGTAGATGGAGTCTGAATTAAACCACTTTCAGGTTTCATACCTGGCCACAGTGCACCTGAATCAGATAAATTGGACCAGTTACAAACAAATATGCTGGGACCAAACAGCATGCTCCCACCTCAGATTAAGATTTTTGCTCATCACAAAAGCAAGTAACAAATGACACACGGAAAATGTTTAATTTCAGCAATAGTAAGTGCTGTCAGGCTGTGCAGGGATTAGAGCTGGTGACAAAATGGCTGAAAAAGAGAAAATTAAAAGCACCAAGAAGACTAATTTGCAAAGCTTTTAACTAAAAATCTGTTTGTGTCACTAAGATTCAATGCCCATGCAGGTAAAGGACCTGCCAAACGCTGTGATTTTGGGCTGAGCTGCACAGCACTGCAAGTGACATCAGCTGTTCCACACTGACACCACAGCTGGGATCTCTGAAGCTCAACACTTCCACTACTTCACTGGGCTTTGGGATGAATATTTTAAACCAAGCCACAGGTCAGGAATTTTCCTAGACTGACAACAACAAATACAGAGCTAAAAAAACAAGAGAAAAAATCTGAATGTTTCTTCAAAATTTCCTGTTGTTTTGGAATGCTTTTGTAACAACCCTGGGCACAGCATGGAGAGTAGAGTGACTATAATTATTTGTGTACAGGGCACACTTAGCATGTGGCTCAGCTCAGGTGCTGTGTTAAGGTCGAGGTCTGTGCACTGACGGGTGCCAACAGTGTCCAACTGAGGCAGCTCAGCTCAGGCCTCACTCTTCAGGGCTCTTCAGGCCTTCATTTGAGTGTCTCCAAATCTACAGCCAAAGTCAAAGACAGTTCTCCCTGGCCCTGGTTAGAAAGCAGAAATATTTTGAAAGAATCTACATAAAAACAAGCAGGAGTGTGCAAAGCAGAAGGACAAAGGACGTTTGGAGCTGGACAGAGTTCAGGGCTATCAGAAAGACCACCTTCCTTTTTAAAAACCCTGAAAACAGTACCAAGGTTGCAGAAGCCACCTGCAGCCCTTCACCCACTCCAGCAGGATTGAGCCATGGGCTGTGAGCTCTAGGTTTCTTACCTAGGAGACATGGGAGACTCCATCAAGTTGGACATGAGCATCAGCTCCAAGAGGTCGCTCCATGCTGCAGCTTTGTCAGAATTAAATTCTGCAATGGCCCTTTGATTTTCTACATATCTGATCTCAAACTGAGACCTATGAGTCAATTTAAATCGCTCCCCTCTGCACAGCCACCCCAGGGTTTGACTCTTCGACTCTCAAGTTGTGTCTTCGTTAAGGTTTCAAACCTCCAGAACCTCAATAATTAGCAAACAAAAATGAAAGACTGATTTAAGAAAGACTGCAGATACATTGCAGAAACTCCAGAACAAAATATATGGGAAAAAGATCCTCCAAGGAGAGTGGGAGTACCTGTGTTTAGTCTGGAAAGGGAGTGCCACCATCTTCAAATGGATGAGCAGTTTTTACAGGGGACAGTAACCAGAAGCTCCTTAGGGCACAAGACAGAGGGACAAGGAGCAACACAGTGTGATGGTCTCATGACATGCAGAAGTGCCAAACAACCTGAGAGTGAAACACAAACCCACCCTGAATGCTCTAGGATGATGCCCACAGTGTGGCACCAGGTCAGACACAGGCAGAGGGGTTGGCAGTGCTGGAGCTGATTCAGGTCATGTGCTAAGGCATCTTTCAGCCCCTGCCTTCCACGACTGCCTTGTTGTTACATGTCCTCCTCTCTGTACAGCCAGGCACACTCCTGGAGTGGTGGCATATGTTCTTCCCCTCTCATCCTGCAGGACAGTGTTGTAAGACAGCACAGCTTCAAGGATGATGGAGAAGAAGCTGTGAGAGGGGAAATGAGACTCTTCCATGTCCCACGGCAGCACTGTATGCCTCAGAATGTCACAGCACACATCTACACACATGGAAAGGCCCCACACAGGACATCCCATCACTTGTTGGTTTTTCTTGAGTTAATGTAAGCCATCACAACCATGGTGTTTCTCATACCAACTTACAGCTACACATTTGCAGCCTGGATGTCACTACTCTTACTTTAATGCTTCTTTAAAAAAAATCTCCCCAGACCACAAGGGCATGCCATGCAGAACAATGCTCTGAACACCAAGAGAGGTGACAAATCAGCAAGAGCAGAAGCCATCCCTTCTATAAAAGGAGCATCCTGACTTCAACCACCTCAAGACTATGGTGTTTGTCAGCTTGCTTGAATTTCATGCTGGTTTGCTCCAGTTAGATAACCCATGGTGGCTTCCTTCTGGCACAGAAACAAATACTCGGTGGAAAGACACACCAGCCTCTGTAACAAGCCCTCTGGTAAAACATGTGACCAAGTTGTTGGCCCCCATCTGCTCACTGGAGATTTTGTGAGCAGAAGCAGTTTCCAGAATTCCCTCTGCAGTGTGCATGTTCAATCCTCTACCCTCTACCTCTCCATCAAACCATGCAAGGTCCATCTTCTCTGCATGACTCAGCAGGTACTTCTCCAGTAGGATTTTCATTACTGGAAATAATGACTTTTAACATCTTCCTAACACTTGATTTCACACTGAAAATTCAGGTGTTTAACAACAGACCTCAAAATCCACACCAGACATTTCAGTAACTGATGACATTTTGGATATTTTACAGATTAAAGCGCCTTTGAAGTCAATAGAAAATGCAGATCTTCTTCCAGATCTTCAGAAGAACTTCCAGTGTTACATTTAAACTATAATATTGAAGCAGCTGAATATCCCCACGCTCCAGAATCCTTTAAAAATGGCTTTTTTAAAATGAACACTCCCCCCAAATATAGCCACCACTACTGCCACCAACAAAACATCACACACACATCACACTAACAAAACCCCTACACCCTCCCTCCAAAATTGCAGAAGTCTAAACCACCATTTTACACAACTTCACTGGAGCACTCCACATATTTACAAATATTTCCCTTTAAAAACACCAACATGTGACACATTAAAATACACAACAGCACACGAAGCAGCCTCAATGCACCATGCACAACACACTATCAAGAAACACTAAATAAATGAGGCAAAGAAAACCATCAGCCACTGTTCAGATACAGCACAAAACAGTGCAACAAGGCACTGAAGCCAAAGTGCAGGCATCCAGTGAAGAGGAATATGTTCCAGCAACCATTAGTAATTACAGTATTAGTAATTTAACTTATGTTTAACAAAGCCAAGTCTGGATTTATTATCTTTTCTGCACCATCTTTCAAATATATCATGACAAATCAATTGTTTTGTAACTTTTAGAAAAGTCCATCCTCTGTCAGCAACTAACAAAAGCCAGAAATGTAGCTGCTCTTATTCAAAGACATCTAATTCTTTAACTAAAGAAAAATTCATCCTTACACACATCAAGGTACTAAGATTTTAGCACTACAGATCAATCTGCAAGAGGCTCAGTGCATATGGTTGTGCAGTACAACCACAAGCTCCTGAGACATATACTTAGAATCAAAAATTTGGAAAAGTTGGAAAAGACCTTTAAGATCAAGCCCAACCATTAACCCATCACCATCATGTCCACCACTAAACCATATCCTCAAGGGCCATATCCATATGTCTTTTGAACACTGCAAGGGGTGGTGATTCCAAGCACTTCCACAGGCAGCCAGGGTGCTCCCCAGGTTCCCTGCACGGTGGCATGATGCTCTCTCCTCTCATCACTGTTGCATGCTAAGGGATAAAACAGCCTCTGCTCTTTTCCATTCTTCTAGAGCTGCATTTGCAAAAACTGGAATAGCTATCAAGAGGGCTCAGTTATTAGAGCAAATTATTTGCCTAGTAAACTTGGAGACATTTTAGCATGAGCTCTCATTTGGTGAAAGATGAAATAAAAATGTCTTAATCTTGGACAACAAAAAGGAAATGAAAAAGCAGAGTTGTGGTAAGGGGTGTTGTGTCATTTCACTAACAAGGAAACAGCACAAACGTAGCTATACCACAACTAGAGATAATTATGATCCCAAACCAAGAACCATATGGCAAACTTCATGGGGAGATCCAAAGTAACAGCTTTATAAAAATCTTATTTTTTAAGCTGAAGTCCCATCAAGAGCTCAGTGCCCATCTACAATTTAAGCTACGCATACGCTCTCCTACAAACTCTTCTCTCCAACACAACTAGTTAAGCTTAACATTGGCTTTTTAATGAGACATAAAACAGTAATTGCAGGCACGGAGAAGTCTTTGAAAAGTCACTTTTTACCGAAAGGAGGTAGTCCGTAGGTCTGGGTGGTCTGGGGGTAGATGGTGTAGGGCTGGGACTGCTGTAGTGCTTGGTACTGAGGCTGACCAGGGTAAGGGCTCATTGTTTCCGATACTGGTACAGAAAGGATATGTGCATATGGCCTTAGTGGAAAGAGAGAACAAAAGTCAGAAAGAACTATTTACAGTATGCATCTTTCAGCCTTCAAACCAGAAGACACGTTAAAAAAATTGCTCCAGAAAGGAGGAACTACTCAGACTGACATGTCCTCTTAGTGCAATAAGCTCCTTGTGCTTCCCAAGGCAGGCTCGTGAGTTAACAGACACTGCCAGGAAGTTCCCTCCTCCAGGATGCCAGAGCATCCCATTTTCCTGCCTTACCACACCAGACCCTGAAGCTACTGTAATCTAGCAGTACCTGTAACAAACAGCGGGACACACACAGCAACTGCACAAAAACAAGCAGCAGGGGTAAGGCCTATCTTGCTCCAACAGCAAGAACTATAAAGATCCCTAAACACAGTGAATGGTGAGAAAATCTTATATTCTCCTTATATTTATTTATGTTCAATGTGTTTATTTGACAAATATTATGTGCATTATTCACCAAGACTATCATGTTAATTGCTTGAAGGGTCTCATTTATCTTTGTGAACATAAAACAAGTCAATAAATCCAAAGGGTGAGTTCTGTAAGTTCAGTGTCCTCAGCAATGAGTATCTGCTGCCAGTAGTGGGATTTACAGCATTAGAGAAATGTATAAAGATACAAAAAGATTACTTCAGAGAGAAGTAGGAGTTACAGAACTCAGTAACAATTTCTTGACTTACTTTGCAGAATACATTTGTGAGGTATAATCATTTGATGACCTTGGGATATAATCAGTGCATGTCATAACTGAAAAAAAAATAGTTTGTGTAATTACAGAGGTGCTTTCAAAACCCACATATATATATATAAAATAAAAGAAAGACAAGTATCAATAGTCATGGTACATTTTAGTCAACACACAGTATTTACAAAGAGTTTTAGTGCCCTGAATATCTGTTTCAAAGCAAATTCTCAAAAATACACTGTTAAACTGGCACAAAAATGTTTTGCCAGCTCACAGCAGGTAGATCAGTCAGTCACATTCCTCCCTGTGAAACAGTGTTCTTTATCATTTTGTGCAGCTATTATAAAAACACTTTGATTTCAGTCCTCCCCAAAACCCTGCATATTTGCCAAAGGGGCTTCATCTGCACCAAGCATAACACTTCTGTGTCCTGGAGCAGAGACCAAACACCTGTTTTGCCAAGGTTTCCTCTTCCCCTACATACTCTACCCATGCATGGCTCCAGCAAACAGTCTTTCCTGTAAAAAGGAACACCTCCAGCTCTATGAACTTAATCACACCCATCCAGTGAAGCACAGCTGCAGTGGGCAAGGCTCAAAGTCCTCTAAAGTAATCCTGTAGTTACATTTAACCAGATGTTTCCATTTTTCTGCTTGAATAAATCCACAGCAACTGCACTCTGAAAGAGGTAAGACAGAGTGGCTCTGCTGACAACCCACAGAGGAAATGTTTCAAATGTTCTCACTCAACACAGCCTGTGGCTCTAGCACACGTTGTGTGGGAGACCTCTCTTACAGCACTCCAGGTTGGGGTGGAAAAAGGGGATTGGGCTCCAAGAGCCACTAAAAACCCCTTGGATTCACACCAGCTGACCTGATTAAATACTCAGTTGTCCATCAAACTAGGAAAGCAGTGATGGACAGGAGCCCAGCACAGAACCTGGCCCATGCCACCAACACAGTGCAGTTGGCTGCTGGGAGCTACAACTTCTGTGACTGTGTTATCTGCACACTACATGGGTTTATCAGTTCAGGTCTAGAAGCACCATAGCCAAGCCCTTAGCAAACACAGCTGCACTGCTGTGGATCCAGCTGATTCCCCCCTGAAAGCAAAGCACCCAGGGCTTGCCCAGGAGGTACCCCAGGCTAACAGTGTACCCCTTGTGCGGGCCCAGGGACCCTGCTCCCCCACCACTACCATAACAAGAGACCCCATTTTCCCTCTCCCTCTGGAGTGACTCGATTAACAGCCTTCAAAACGGCACAAGGTCACAGGTAACAGCCTACTCTGCCTTGGGATTTGATCCAAATGCCAATAATGTGCTCACAAAAAGTCCATATTGGAGCGGCATTATTGCTCTGGTATGACCACGTAGTTAACTCTGAGTTACACTGAGGAAAGCAAGACAGACAGTGTGAAACCCATGTAGCACAAGGATTCAACAGGAAACACAAACCGGCAACTTTTGGAGCTAAAGGCTTTCCTTTAACACCTGTCAGTTCCCACACCTCTCCTGCAAAAATGTTTAAGATTTGTGGGAGGTTTTTTTAAGAATTTTCATCTGAATAGTTATGTAGTAATGATATTTCTAGAATTTGTAGCTATAAAAGTGCATACAAAGAATTAGGCATACATAGGCAGAAGCAGCAACTATTTTCTCTGAGTTTCTGAAACCAAATTTATTACATGATAACCTTTTCATTTTAAATAACTGCCTTCTTCTTTTCCAGATTAGTTGATTTCCAAATAACTGATTTTTAGTAAGTCTTTCATCATTCACTCATCTCAGAAGCTTCTGTGTACAAGCACAGAGAGTGGGATAGGTTTTCTGAAAATAGTTAATATGTGTTAATATGAAAATAGGTGAATATGTTTTTTGAAAATAGTAAATAGATGGACTGATCTTAGATTGAAATTCCATTTACTGTCTCCCTATATTTTTTTCTTCATTTAAACACCACCATATAATCTGGTTACTCAATAGCCTTTATGGTGTAAAAAAGCAAAATTCCCACAGTAACACTGCACACAATTTCTGGGATTTGTAAATGGCTTATCCAGTTAGGCAGCAAGTTTTGTAGGCTGAAATTTCTCATAACTTCTGCAACACCACAGTACATGGATTAAAATAGCAAATATTAAATCAATTACAATGGGAAGTTACACCTTACACACTTTCAGCTAAGATGAGCTGACTTACACTTCGAAATATGTATTGGCAGTCAAAGGTATTCCACACAGGAATCTGACTTTCCTACTAACTTCCAGCCCTCTTTTTCCAAGAGAAAGGACTCCACTTTGCACTTACTATGCAATCTTTGTATTCCCTGCCTCTTTCCTCTCTGTTTATTTCCTAAGAGCTTTCCACAGACACTCAATAAATACAATGCAGAGTCTAAGATGAAGTGTGTGGTATATTGCTACAAAGGACCCAACCAGCTGTGTAGACATGATGATTTATCAAATATATTTACAATAGGCATTATATTGACATGATATTGACTCAACCCTCTAGAAGAATCATGTCTAAGGCAGATAAGACACAGCAGTACTCAGAAGCTGAGGGGCAGTGACACAAAAATATTTGTTAGAAACAGATATTTCCTTACCATCAGGCATTAACACTTTGTAAACACTACAGCAAACGTTCACGTTACAACTGATAGCGAGGGCAGGCTAAGAATTACAAGGAGGAGACAAAGCTTGTGGTAGATGAAGCCAGGGAAAGACATGAGGACAGACAATGGGAGAACTGCAGAGATACTCACTCTCACTGGACATGGGAAGGTTTGAACCAAGGTTTGAAGATTCAGTTTTCTGATCGCTGACTTCTGTGTTGCTCACATGACTGCCAGGACAACAAAGGCTCAGTATTAGCATTATGAATTCTTAAATTAACATCCTTGGGCATCATAACCCCTGGGTTCAACCCTTCTGAGCAAGGGAAACTAACTCTTCACAAAACCTAGCCCTGTGCTCTTTGCTGTTTCATGAAGAGATTCTGAGAGAGAGATCTGCAGCTGGAGTAAGACATAAATGGGACATATATATGTATATAGACATATATTAGATTTATATGGGGTTTGAGTGGCCAGGGTTTGGTAGAGGGGGGACGTCAGGGGTGGCTTCTGTGAGAAACATCTCTTGGCACCTCCATTCCCCCAGGAACTGCTGCCAGGAGTGGTGTGTGGCCCTGCTCCCCTGCCCACGGGCACTGTCTCACTGCTGGATTTGTCCCTGAAGACTGGTGTTGAAACATCCTTGAACTGGGGGTCAGTCACTTCTGTACTTAAATATTTGCAGGTTACTGGATTATTTTGGATCTGCCCCATGTTGTTTCAGTTCCATGTTAATGCTGCTTTGTTCATGCATAGAGTAGGAGGTACAGGTAATTTCTGAATTAAACTGTTTTTTTCCTTGATGATTGCCTTCCTGGCTTTAATTTTATTATTGCTTGTTCTGCAACACAGCTTTTCACAAGGTTTTGAGCCCCTGTGTGCTGTTCTGACATTCTGAGACTGCAGTTTCTCAAGGGTGGAGGAGCCAAAGGAACTGTTTATTGCTGCTGAGGGGAGACTTCTCCCCTTGTAGATCAGCTGTGCACCGAGCATGGCGCTCTCTCCCTCCATGATCTGACTCCACCCAGCATCCCAATAAAAAATAACTGCACAGTTCTGTGTTGGATGAGCAAATTAAACTCTCAGGAAGAGCCTAAATGTGCCTACACTGAACTACACAGGGAGCAGGAGGCTGTACAAGAAATAAACCCAAATCTTACAACACCTTCCCCCTCCCATCCCTGCTTTCTAGGCTCAACTAAACTGATTTTCTCTCCCTCCTCCACCTTCTGTAGTGCAGGGGAAAGGGAGAAACAGGTCCAATAAATTCTTTTAAACTAATCCATCGGTCAAAATCACGCATAGCTTTATCAAAACAGAGTCAGATTATTTAAACAGAATATTTAATCGAGTTAAAAATGCAACTTTATCCCTTCCCTCTCTTCTATTTTTAAATACTAAAAATACATTTTTAAATGTCTACAATTTTAAAAGACAAGGATGTTTACGCATCCATAGGGAAGCCGTGGTTGTGCTGAAGCAGGGTGACACAGAGGGAGAAGGGAGAGCAACCTGACACATTCAAACCTGTCATGCTACCCTCAGGCCCTCTCTATCCAAGAGAGGGAAAAATCTCTCCCTAGGATCTGATTCCTCTGACCTCAGAAAGGGAGCTTGTGTGATCAGATCAAAATTCTAAATTTTAGAATATACCACATCCACTCCTGCAGAAACTGTTTCCTCCGTGCTCCTACTGGAATGGCAGAGACTCCAAAAAGAAATCTTTCTTCACTGTATTTGCTGCTACTCAGAGAAACAGAGTAATTCCTAATAAAGCTATTCTCATTAAAAGTAGTAATAATAATAGTTAATTCCTAAATACAGTATCAGAAAGCACCTACTGAGGCTAAATATAGTATCACACAACAGCTTTAAATAGGAGAGGCTAACAACTCAAGAGTTTCATTTCTCATTTTCTCAATTTCTCCACACAGTTTCACTAAAGATAGTAGCACAGATATTATTTAAATATCCTGAATCTCACCAAATCAAATGCATATTATGTCAGTCTCATTCTGTAAAAAATGGGTGTGATTATGCCATTAAGACATTTTGTGGCCACTTTTATAAAGCTTTATACCATAGGGCCAGTTAATTATTTTGTATTGGGAACTTAATCAAAATTATACCTAATACAAATGCAACTATATCTTCCATAACCCTATAAAAAAATAAATTAAGAGGCAAATTTCTAAAATGAAAGCTTTATAATTGTAGAAGACCATAAAGAAATACTCCACACTAAAATCAAATTTAAAATCTCATACCTCAGGTTCTGTTCTCTGGATTCCTGCATCTTGGCTTTTTTCACCTACAAAGACAAAAATGTTAAGAGCTACAATTAACACAAGCTGGAGGGTTCACAGTGGTGACTGAACACCCAGTTTTGTCCTGCACTCTGGTGTAACTACAGGCTCTTCATCTCAAAACAAGCTTTTTCCTAATTAGAAAACAAGGACTAACACTGGGTCTTGTACAGCAGAATTATCAAGCTATGTTAGGAACAGGTGCTGAGATATACAGCCACAAAAATGGCTGGTAAGGACAATTTTGTGGAAATTGAAATAAACAATTGTAAATGTTAAGAAAATCTTATTCTGCACAGATTCAGCATGACAGCCACAAACTTTGCTCTTTGTCCCCTATATTTTAATATTGCATAAAGATAGGAACATTAATGCTTTTTCTGTAATAAATTAGAAGTTTTGACTCCTGACTGAAACCAATGCAGCACTTTTTCTCATTTTGTACGAGCCAGCTGGATCCTGTTCCTGTACAGGGTATTACACCACAGACAGCACTGGCTTGAACACAAATTTGGTTTCTGCAGGCTACAAACATTACTGTGAAACCCTCAGTAGGACGCCAGGGTGAGTTTCTCCTGCAAGAACATGCCATTACACCCAAAATATTACCTCACTCATTCATCATGATGCATCTATTCTCATATTCTGTCACAGAATGACTGACTGGTATCAGAAATTAAAGGAAATCTTTAGCTGAATATTGCAGCAGAATCTGCTTAAAGGACACGCCACTGAAAATTAGCTGTACCCTATCTCTCTTGCTCTGAAGAATAAAGACAGGTTTTATTATATAAGGATGTATTTAGAGAGATTTCCTTTTTTAATACAGGCAATTCATTTTTAAACTCCTCAAACAGCTGGAGTACAAACTATATGGTTTTGCTGCTTAGTTTCACATTTTGTGGATATTACTCAGGCCCATCATCTGCAGGTGGTGGCAACCAAGTTCTGAATAATTTTAAGTTTACATTTGCACTTCATTGGATTTTGTTCCTAAGTCATAAAATTGCATAAATGACATTACAATGTATTTTCTAAGTAGTTTAACTGAAGTACATTAAATCCTCACATTAAAAAGGCATCAAAATCTTTTCAATTACAACACATCCAAAGTGCCCTCAAACACATTATTCTGTTTCTCTGTGCATTTGACAAGATTACAAACATCACTTCCATTGTAACTTGGCAATTTCTTGTAGAATTTGTACCAATTATATTTTGGGAACTGAACATTAATATAAACATCTCCCCTTAATTCCTATGCTATTATGTTTTAGATACACAATTTAATTCATCTCACACTGTATTGATAATTCTCTATCCGACACTTCTGTGTTGTGATAATATCAGTTAATGATAATGCAAACAGAATTGCAAATACTTCATATACATGTAGCAACTTTAACCTTCAGACAGGCTTCCAACCCCAACATATTGTTGCACTGGTGATTAAAAAATGCCTTCCACTTGTGGAAGCAATAAATCACAGGATCTTTTCAAGATCTCAGGCATAAGAAGAATTAAAGACTATACACTCTGTAATAACCAGCATGCTGATTCTGTCCCTGAAATAGTGAATTTTATTATTTCTACAACAAGCTTGAAGTAAGTCTGGTTTTCTGAGCATAACAAGTAATCATTTTGCATAGAAACACTATAGAGTTCAAGTACTTATAACTACTCCTTTCCTACTACTGCCTGTACAATTATAGTAAGTTAAATGTACAGCACATTTTACAAAGAACAAAATGCTTTTTGTCCTCTGGATAAATACACTAAGTAAAAGCCTTCTTTTCCAATATTTGCTAAAATAACTGTATACCAAAATTGTGAGATCACTAATTTGTTTTATATTTTAATTTTCAGCCTTTTTAAAATGTACTTACTGGTTGTTCAGGTAAGTCTTGTGGCTCTTCCATGGGTATTACTATTTTAATGCTTAAATGATTCAAATCGTGTGTTCCTCAGCAGCCTTCAAGCCCTGTTAAAAAAAGGTGTTCATAGCTTTATGTACTTTTGGGGGGCTTATCATGTAGACTATCAGAGAATATTAATTGTTATATACTCCTCCCACAAAACTCATGTGGCCATCTCCCAAATAAAATACAAAATTCATATATGGAAAGATTTCATAAACAAGGGATTTAGCTTTAAGCTTTCAAGATACAGATTCCTCATGCACATGGTACATTTCTACATCATTTACTCGGACCACACTGACTGCAGAAGCTAACACACTAATCAGACACGTGCACCATGATTTTAAAGACACTTTAAATGATCAAGTCTGGTCTACTAGGTCAGTAAACAGCATGATTCAATCTAACCTGTTTTAATTTAGAACATTTATATAACAATCAAAAAAAAAAAAAATCAGGACAAGACTGTACACCTAAATGCATTTACACACAGTGCTGTTCCCCACCAAATTCACAAAGCAAGTTCATTATTTCAACTCCACCTTTCAAAATGAGAAGTTTGATGAAATTTTATAAAATCATTTTTATTTTGGAAGCATTTAGCAGAGATCTTATACATCAAAAAGCTGCTGCATTCCTTAAAATCATGAAAAAGAAATTTTGCAGAATATTTTCACAACCTGATTAACTTCTGCAATTTGCTGAGCAAAAGATAAAAGGCCTGTGTCCTCCTGGCTTCTCCCTCTGCCCACCTGATGTGCATGAGCAGTATGATGTGTGTGCTTGCTTTCTCCATCTCATTTTGGAGCCACTTTATTAAAACCAACCCCAACCTCTTCAGAGCAGCTTTTCCTGAGCTGCCTCCTCACCTGCTCTCCCACACGCCCTCACAGCACAACTTCAGGGGATTGCAGAAATTAGAAGAAATGCTGAAAAACAGTTAGTGGGTTGGAGAAATTAAATCCAGTGACTTTCTGTGCAGAGGTATAACTTATTCCTGCCTCCAGAGCCACGAAAGTCTAGCTCTGTCTGTAGTGAAAGGGCTGTTTTACACACCACTCCTTCCTCTACCCACCCTCTCCGCAGCACTCAGGCACCTTCAAATCATGGGATTATCCCCACACAAAACTCACTGAACTAGTTTTTACAGAAACAACTTTCTGCTGTCCTGAAAACCATGTCTGTGTCCCCTCCCTGGCTCGTGCCAGACCTACTTAACGTGCCAGCACGTGCAGCCTGCCCGCAGCCCGGTCCCACGTGCCAGCCACAGGGATGCTGTGCAGCCTGCCATCATTTCCTATTAACCACGAAAACACAAAAGGTTTCCTCCTCATTTGAGGACAGGTCTTACGTACCAGGGTGTATTGTATGTGCCAGAATAAAATTTCATTGAGGGTTTGAGGATTTTGCAAGGCTGCCATCCCTAATCAAAGCTACTGTTACTGCCTGAACTCTGAACTGAATTCACAATTAGTCTCTTCCATAACTGAGGTTCTTTGGAAATGACCCTATTCACAACACACAAGTCTACAATACAAAGCACTACTGTCACCTTTACAGTTTTTCCTCCACCAATTTCAATCGGTTTTAAATATAAATCTTATTTATTTTTTGTAGGAAATAACAGAAAAAATAGGACTGAAAAGAAAATCTGCCACTCAGAGATGATAAAAAGGAGTACAAAATACAATGGCCAAAAGCAAGAAGATTTGAAATTCGTACCAAGAGGTCCTGTCCCTCATCCTTCACTTCTGCTATTCAACACTGGTTTGTTGTGTAATTTCATAGAAGAATCCTAAACTAAACTCTTCAGTATGGAAAAATATTTTACATTACACTGATCCATACAGCATTAACTTCCCATGCCATGCTTTGCTTAAAAGCTGTGAGTAGCTCTTTAACTTTGATTTTGAGAAGGGTTTAAATAATTACAAAGACAAGTCTGAGTCCCACTGGAATATGTTACATGTGTGAAGAAAACATTCTTCCCAAATAAGCTGGGCACCTTGTAGCAGACGACTGAAGCAAAGCAATGAACACAAAGTGCCTGCCTCAATAGCAGGCAGCACTTGACCTCTGGTGGCTTCATGCCTTCTCCCAGGGAAGTGAGCATTCCAAGTGAGAACCTGGCCTAGGGTGGCTTTGTTCTTTCCCTGTACCTCCAGAAACAGCAGCAGACACCTCACACAGGGCAGAGGACACCTCACACTCGAGGTGTGACCCCACAGACCGAGCAGCAGTGTGGGTCTGGCAGAAATGGAGGCACTGAGCTCCACATCTGGGAGCAAGGGCTGAGGGATCTCCCCCAGGCAAGCCCAGCAGCAGCTGACAGTGGTGTGGGAGAAGGGAGAGCTCCTGCCTCTCCCATCCTCCTGCACCTCCTGCCTGCCTGACACTCCCTCCTTCATGAAAGCAGAGGCTTGTGAGGTTGAACAGAAGTCTGGATGTAGGATCTGCCAAGGAAAAAGAAAAAGAAAAGAAACACCAAAGTGACGCAAGCACAGTCTGACAAGCTGATGTCAGAAAAATCAGCTCTGGCTCTGCTCAGCTCTGTTCCAGGGGAGCCAGCAGGATGAGGGTCAGGAAAAACAAGCAAGCAGAGCAGCAGGATGTCCCTTTTCAGCCACAGCCACAGTAAATGAAACCTTAATTTTATCCACAGTAAATGAAACCTTAATTTTATCATCTCTTTGATGTTCCACTTTGATGAAGCAGACATGACGGTGATAAATATACAGCAGCCTTTTCACCTGTATCACCCCCCCAGTCACCAGGTTCTCATGCAGAGCAGGCACACCTCTTCTCATGGCTGGGCACAGAAAGCCCTTGGATCAGGGCATGGCAGGAACCTCTCCCTGCCTCTCTCCTGCTGCACTGAGAGGCTGAGTGAAGCTGCTGTCAGCTCCAAGGCTGAAGCTACCAGAGGAGGATCCAGGGAGCAGCTACTCCTGCCCTGCCCATATCCCTGTCAGCCCTCTCCACCACAGCTAATCCCAGCTGCCCTCCAGCCAGCTCGGTGGGTACCTGCCCCAGGGCCCCGAGTCCCCCCAGGTGCTGTTGGACACCTCCTCACCCAGCATGAGAGGTGTGAACAACCCAGAGCTTGGCTTTCCCAAAAAACAAACCCAGCATCTTGCACTTGCTCAGCCTCAGCTGTCTCACAGGAGCACACAGAGCCAGCAGCTCACCAGCAACAAAGATGATTTTTAAAAGCTGAAAATACACAACGCTGATTTTTTTTCGGGGGGGGGGAGGGTGTTTTCAGGGGATTTTTTTGGTTTGTGGTTGTTTTGGGGTTTTTTTGCACATCACACTCAACATTAGATTTTAACTTGTGTAAAACTCAAGTGCACTTCAGGTAAGCTTATCACGCATTATTACAGAATATTTTTAAACTCTAACTGAACACAACAGAGGTATCAAAGAGTCAGGGGGTGAGAATGCTTCTGTGGGCCACTGTTTGTGAATGAGAACAACAGTACAAAACGGAAGCAAGTGTGCAAGAAGCCCTTAAATGAGTTGCTGCAATGAAACAAACATTCAGAAAAATGAGTCCATTGTTCTGCTTCTGGAAACCAGCAAAGTACCACACTTTTTTCCTTTATGGGATGATTTTTATTAATTACCCAATGAAAACTATTCTGTAAGATGTGAATTAAACACCAGGTTTTATTTCATCTAGACTTGTTTTGAGTAACCATCCTGTTTAATTCCAACTTGCATGGAACACCAGCAATGCAAAATATTAAGAATTGGGTTTGCATGTAACTTAATTTAGTTCGCTCAATTTAAGGAGCCACATTATCTAAACTTCAAACCAGAAGGCATCAGAGCAGAGGAATGGGCTGCAGAATCACTCTCAGCAGCTGTCTTCTGCTCTGCACAACATTTTGATGCCAATAATTCACCATTAAAAGCCCTGGAAAGTGATCTCCAGTTTTTTGCACTAAATCCTGTTTTAAAAATCCTAAAATACAAAGTCCAGCTTAGTCAGACCTTCTCAAACTAGATACTCTGGATAGAATTTCTGAAAGCTGCCTGCTATGAGCAGCACCTGGACAGACTGCTATTTACTTTTAGCTTGTGTTTTCAAGCCCATCTGCCTTGGCTTTGAATATAAAGTTTCATGCAAGAAACAGTTCTCCCAAGCTGCAAATAATTAACATCAGGATACTGTGATAAAACCAACACACAGTAATTATACTGATTAGAAAAAAAAAGCTAATTGACTATGGTTTTATATTACTTTAAAACAGTTACTATTTTCCTAAGAACAAAGCTTTGATTGGGGAAATGAAATGACATCTCTTAAACAGAGTTGGAATAAAATCATAGGATCATTTATTTTGGAAAAGACCTCCAAGATCATTAGGTCCAACCAACACCCAGCACTGCCAAAGGCCACCACTAACCCATGTCCCCAACATGTGTCCCCTTGTCTTTTAAATTCCTCAAGGAATGGTGACACCTCCACCTCTGCCCTGGGCAGCCTGTGCCAGGGCTGAACAGACCTTTCAGGGAAGAAATTTTCCCTAAAATCCAATCTAAACCTTCCCTGGCACAGCTTGAGTCCATTTTCTCTTGTCCTGTCCCTTGTCCCCTGAGAGCAGAGAGTTGTGGAGAGCAAGAAGATCCTCCCAAGCCTCCTCTTGCCCAGGATGAGCCACACCAGATTCTCCAGCTGCTCATCAGACTTTGTGCTTCAGCCTCTTCCCCAGCTCTGTTCCCTTCTCTGCATACACTCCAGCCCTTCAATATCTGTGTTGTAGTGAGAGGCCCAAAACTGAACCCAAAAGAGGGGGACAATCACTTCCCTATTCCTGCTTGACACACCATTTTTCACACAGGCCAGGATGTCCTTGGCATTTTTGGCCACCTGTGCACATTCAGCAGCTGTCAACCAGCACCTCCAGGTCCTTTCCTCATGGGACCCCTTCCAGCTACTTTCCTCCCAGCCTGCAGTGTTCCATGGGATTAGGATACACTCCATTCCCTTGTCCAGAACATTCATAAAGATATTAAGCAGGTCTGGTCCCAATACTGATGGGGCACTCCACCAGTGCCCAGCCCCAGGGATGTAGTTCCGTTCCCCTTCACTCTCTGGGCCCAGCCATCCAGTTTTAAACCCAGCAAAGAGTACACCTGCCCAAGCCCTGAGCAGCCAGCTTCTCCAGGAGAAAAGGTATCAAAAGGTTTACTGAGGTTCAGGTGGACACATCCACAGCCCTTCCCTTATCCACCATGCAAGTCACCTTGTTGTAGGTCAGGCTGGTCAGGCAGGATCTGCCTCTCCTAAACTCATGCTGGCTGGGACTGACCCCTGGTTGTCCTGTACGTGCCACAGGATGGCATGGAAGATGGTCTTTTCTACAAACTTCTGTCCACTGAGGTCAGGCTGTAGTCCCCAGATCCATTTTCTGACCCTCCTTCTAGATGGAAGGTCAACAAGCATTCAGTCAAGTGGGACCTTCCTGGTAAGCCAGGATGGCTGGGAAATGATGGAAAGAGACTCAGTGAGAACCTCTGCCAGCTCCTTCAGTGCCCTTGACTGGATCCTTTCTGGCCCCAGAGACTTGTCTAAGTGGTGTAGTATGTATTTATAGAAACATTTTTTATTGTCTTTTACGGCAATGGCTGTAATGTCGTGTACTAATCATTTTATACGAGTCACTATGCAGTTATTTTCACTCCTCAGTTATCCAGGGACCACCAACCAACAACAAACAGCAACAAAAATACATGAATTAGGCAGCAGAATAGTACAGTCTTCCCTTATTTTCTGGTGGGGTATTTCAAGACCATGTGCCCCATGCTGCTGCATTACACACACACACAGGATGGAAGCACGCAGCCAGAGCAATCCAAGACATCACCCAAACTGGAGCAGAGCTTTTCCTCACAATGTTTTCACTCCATGCCACTCATCACATGACAAACAGCTTCTGACAGAAAGGAGCAAAACTTGGCAGAGTGCAGCATGGCAGATCTACCCCCCTTTCTTTTTTTAGATTTAATTAAAATACCCAAATAAAAACAAAAGTAGAAGAGACACATATTGATATTACTATGTACTGCACAGCTGATGAGTGCTTTTTATTCTGAAGGTTTGACTTAAGTTCTAATCTTCAGGCAAAACGTGGTTTAAGTCATCCCCTGCACTGGCAATGGCTTGTGCTCCTCCACATTAAGGTGTAAGCAGGCATGTGAACATGTTTTATTCTTCCCTGTATCTCAGCTTTCCTATATCCAATCATTATAGTATTTCACCTGCCAAGCTGATGAAATATTTCCAACTTATTATTCAACACAGGCAGATCAGTGTTCTGACTATACCAAGGCAGCACATCCAACCTGCCGCCCACTCCTACAGGATCTCTCCTGAGGATTTGGCCAAAACAGGAATTCCCTAAAGTTTTGAAGAACCTCCCATTTGGTTTGAAACAGCTTGATTAAAGATCCCAGGAAATGACAGCATCAGTCTGGTTTACAGAATAAAACAGCCCCTTAAGGAACTGCCAGGAATTGAACAATTTTGTGTACTAAGCTTCATTTTTTTCTTCCTTCAGGCAGAACCAGAATCGTGGAAATTCTTCATGTGATTCTTGCATCATCACAGTGATGCAAACAAAATGAGTAAACTGGCACGTAAAATATTCCATCTGGTGAAAAATCAAAATAATGTTAAAGACACTTAAAAGAAAAGGACTCCCCATAGCAGTGCAACCCTGCACAGAGACAGGAGCAAGCAGGAGTGTTTGATATTGATATTTCCTGGTTGATAAGGAAGGGAAGGAGCACAGAGAAAGAGTGGGGAAACTCACTGAACTTTCCTCCTCCACCATGGAATGAAATAACTCACACAAGTCACTTGCTCTAAAGCAGAACTGGCAGTGGCACAATACATGCTCTCCTTCCCATGACGTGCAGGAGTTCATTTCTAACTGCCAAATCCAGGCTGCACATCCATGTCTGTGCCTGTTACCCCACAGCTTCCAAGCCAATGGGAATAGGAAACCTTACTGCAGTGTTTGAAAATCAGCTGAAGAAGGAAAAGGAAGTGTGATTTCCAACTTCACACTGTGGTGCCAACCCCTCTGCCCCAAGTCCTACTTTCTAATACTACTGACTCCTCAAACAGCTTTGCTCTCCAAAACAAGTCTTGAAAATGCCCTCTAAAATCCATCTTCAAGACACCAAGCTTTCTCTCATTAAATCCATCTTCTTTGTAAGCAGTTTTCTCCTAGTTTCTTTGTCCTGAAGCAGAGCTGAAAAAGGACTCAAGTTCATGAATGGAAGCTGGGCTGCACACCAGCCTGCTGATTCCCTGTCTTGAGCAATCCAGCAGAGCTCACAGCAAACACTGATATTCCACTATTGGCTTTTCTCTTCCTCCACAAACACCCACATGGCCCTAGCTACAACACACACAGGTATCTGCAAAATACTGTGACAACCAGAAGAATAAACCTTTGTGATGAGTGCTGCTGGAGGATTCCCCACTCTTTCTCTGTGCTCCTTCCCTTCCTTATCAACCAGGAAATATCAATATCAAACACTGTAAAAGTTACAAAAAAAGCATTTTGTATGCCCTATTTCTGAAGGTATGGATGGTCACAACAAGCCTCCAAATGCTGTCCTGTAGGACTGAAAACTCATTTCCTTAAAATGGAAAAGAAGTGCTGTGAGAAATAAAATAAGAAATAAACACAGTGAGGAAAAGAACTAAAATCAAACATGGAAATACAAATCTAGTTTTCTCTTCAGCAATGCCTGTTCCATTGACAGGAAGCTCTCCATGATTTTTAGACCCTTGAAGGGATATCAGTGTTTTGACTGTCTGCAGCTCACTCTACTTGACTGATGACACATGCTTGTTTTCCCAGTTCTTATGCAATGCTTTTTCAATTCGGGTTTGAAACACAGCAGGGAAAATTTTAATGGGGAAAAGAACTGTTTTCACAAAAGGAAGATTTGGAAAGAACAACTTCATCCTCAAGAAAAACAACTCCCACTGAGCCCAAAAATCATGTGGCAACTCCTGCTAGACAGAGCCAACATGCATCACCCACAGGGCACAAGAACACAGAACTGCTGCTACTTTTTAGTGACAAAACCAGAGTACATGATGATTTACAGAAACATCAGCCAAGCAGAAGAATTGATTCCCTCCTCTCTTCCTGAGGATATCACTTGCAAAGAGACTGGGCAGATTTTCTCCTGAAGACCCCACAGGGTGGGGTACCTGTAATCTCACAGCCCATTACATTTTTGTGTTTCTGGAAATCAATAAACAGGTCACAAACTTCTAGAGCTGTAGCCCTAGACAGAAAAAAAAAAATGCTGTCTGATTTCCATGGTTCTAAAAACAAACTTCCCAACAGCAGGACACACTGCCTTTAATTCCTAAAAGCAACTTCTGACATATTCTAATAGATTAGGACATTTCCTGAACAAAAGACTAAACATTTTTAACTTCCCTCAGTAAGACAGCAAATCTGCATCAGATTAACCACAAAAAAGAATTACTGACATTATGCAGTTCTAAATTTTATTTTCAATAAAAGATTTGACTCATACATATCAAAAAGTCACATAGCCAGCACCAGAGGCTACCATGAAATGCACCTGTACTTCTATTAGAGAAACTCTTTCAGTACTCAACTGTACCAGGAGAACTGAAGATGACAAATAGCAAAATAAACAGCCAGCTTACAGTTTGTTCAGAAGGCTGATCTGATCTGTACAGTGCTATGGAGGGACCTGAAAAGGCAGTGTCTGATCATCAAGGACAGCTTTCCCAAGCACAAGAGCCCAGTCCAACCCAAGAGGCAAGAAAATGAGCAAATGCAGAGGGAGGACAGTTTGGCTGGACAGACAGCTTCTGACTAAGCTCCAAAAGGAAGAATCTGGGAGGTCAAGCAAAGCCCAGATACCTATGAGGACTTCAGCAGAACTGCTGAAGCGTGGCTTCCAGGAGGAAATGAAGATCATGGAGATATCCTCATTGCTATAAATATATTTTCTTCAGACCCTGAGAATCAATCCCCAACTGGATAACAAACAAATCCCAGTAAAACCAGTGCTGTACGTCCTGGAGTGCCTGATGACCACAGAAAGAGCGCAAGAAGAATGCAGGCAGATTAATGACCTGGTCATTGCTTAACTAAAAGATCTCTAATTAGCTGACCTGTGGCAGTGATAAGATTGTGCACTTCATTTCAGCTGACACCAGAGCTGTCACATGATACAAACTCCTGCAGTGGCAATCAAAGCACATCGAACCCAACACTCTGCTAAGCTACAACCAGTTTTATTTGACGACTGGGACAGGTGAGGAGCAGAGCACAACTCAATTCCGCAGCTCCTGTGGCACTGGAAGACTGAGGAACAGGACTGAAGTTTGCACAGAACCAGGGGCTGACACACATCTTCAAGCTGAACGACAGCCCAGGGAATTTTTGTCTTCTTGCTCACCATGTGTACCAGGTAACCTTTGTGAAAGAACAGCCCACAGCACTTTCTGCTAAATTTTAGCTCTAAAATCTGTTAGTATCAAGACCTTACCCTAAGGGCTGTCATCTCTGACTTAGGCCTAGTCTGCAAAAATCCAGAAACATCAACAGAGCAGGACCCCTGGCATGTGAGGTATTACTGGATAGAAGGGGAACAAAATAAAGTAGAATAAGAAGAATTAAATCTCATGAGTCTTTGTAGCTCCTCAGAATACCAGCCAAGTTAATGAAGAATAGAAGTGCCTCTGTTAACTCTGAATCACATCTTCTAGAAAAGCCAGCTCTCCTTCCTATACCCCAAAAGTTCTGGATGGACACGAAATGAGGATTTAAAGTACACAGAATAATCAAGGCAACAGCTTCTGAAATTTCAAGAGCTATTATAGAGGTGGAGAACAAAGCACCAGGTATGTTCTGTAAATGGGACCAGACTTGCATGAACTTCAAAGTCCTGAACCAACAGTGTTGCTTTCCCCAACAGGTAGATAAGAATAACTATGCCTTTGCTAAAAGGCCAGCATGAGGAAATCTGAAGTACAGAAAGCAAGTATCACTGTTTTTTCTACTCAAAACACCTCCATGTAGTTTTGAAAACAGCTGCTACATTTTTTTCTGTTCTGAATAATTAATATTCACCTTTTCCTGAATATTCATTTTTCTACCCTGATCATCTTAAGTCAGTAATATTTAAGCAAGAATTTCTTAAGCTCTCTCATAAAGTAACAGGGGAAAAAAAAGGTGTCACAGAAAAGACACTAGTATGGGGCTGACTTGGAAAATCCCAGAAATTGAATAATAGTGCATTCTGTATAGAAGTAGGAACATCAACATCACCCAAGGTTTAGAGCTGCCACACGCTTCACATGATGTTCCAGCTGTGACTCTCAAGATCTGTCAGTATTCAAACACAACCAACAAACATTTCAAGACACGGCAGGAAGCTCCTGGGATGTAAGAATAGTGTTCTGCTCAAGTCTTAACTCAGGAGAGACCCATCTGCTGCAGAACTAAACTGTTCCATCACCTCTGAAATTAGGCTAGACATACCCTTAACCCCAAATAAAAGTCTGTTTATGAGACGGAAGGAGTCCCCAGTCAGCTCCATCACAAAATTATATTATTTTTCTAAATATAAGGTTTGTTTTTAGTTAGCTTGTTCCGTTACAGGACTGATGGGTGACAACCTGGAAAAGACAGGGCAGTGATTGGTGTGAATCACAATGGCACCATACCCTGAAGAGGCTGCTGTGCCCTGCTGTGTCACAGCACTCTCCTAAACACCATGTTGGGTAAGGCATCAGGAGGAGATCCGAGCCCTTGCAACATCACCTTCACTGAGGCTCTGGAGGCAGCTGCAAGAAGAAAGAAAGGATTTGAAGTTACTCCCTCGGGTACTGGAGTGCCTCCAGTCATGGCATCTGCACAAATTATCCCAGAATCACTGCTAGAGAGGGGCCACCAGAGAATACTGCTGAAGGGATGCTGGCTTACAAACAAACAAAAATCTACACAAATTAGGATGAAATAAAGAAAATAAATTAAGAGTAAGACAAGGCAAGAAAAGGCTGAAAAATACCTTCCTCAATATATAACCAACCATTGAGTGCCACTGGTCACGGTATAGGGGCAAAAACCACTCCCAAGTTCCTGTAAGATGTCTGGAGGTGGGTGGTCTGTAGACACTGCTTGGTGCAAGAATATATATAAAATACCAGTTGTTAAGTCCTGACACAATTCCATTTCAGGCTCAAAAGTTTCCACACCTCTCCATCCTAGCAGTTCCTTTTCCAATCACTGGGTTTTGCAGACCCAGTAAAAGTTTATCAAACATCTGTTTTTCTAAGAGCAGATTTCAGGGAAGAAGAGCAGAGACTTGCCAAGAGGGGAAAAAAAATAACCCGAATTCTGCTGAGAGTAGAGGCATGGAGCTACTCAGATCCCAGTGACAAATTATCTGCTTTATGCCTTGAGTACCATGGCTTGCACACAGGAACACACTACTTGCCTGACTTTCAGTTCAATTAAAGTATTTCAGTATATTTTATCTAGTTTTATCTTTAGCCATCTATAACCACCTTTTGGTACACAGAAGTTATGTGTTAGAACTTAGTTAATCTACTGTAGAGGGGCTCCAACTCATTCACACAACACATGGAAACCCATTTAGTGTCCTCTGATATATTCAACTTAAAATTCATTCAACACCTGGGTATTTCCGGGGCAAAGTTTTGAGAAGTTACAAATAATTCCAAAGTCACCAATTACTTGGGCTATTGCATACATCTGCAACAGCTTTTCAAATTACTTGAAAAGCAAAAATTTTTTGATCAGATGTGTTGCACAACTCAATAACGCACAGTTCCCCAGGTGCCATAGCTACTGCTGAGGTTGAGGGAAGAGCTGAGGGGGAGACAAAAGCTGCAGGCAAACACTCCAGGAATTGCAGCAGCTTGGAAACTGCAGGACCTCAAGCTCAGCAACCTTTCAAACACAGCAGCGAGAATGTACCAGCAGATCACTGCTTGTGTGGCAAAAGCTGGAGAACAAAACTCCACAGGTAAGAGGGATCGCACCATGAGGTGACAAGGAAAATCCCTCAAACACAGTAGACTCAGCCCAACAAGCCTGTAGGCTTGCAAGCTGAGAAAACCACTATGTTCATGCATTTTTAAAGGTAACTTCTTATGAAACCACTGACTTGAGGCATATGAATTGTGATTCTCAACTAAACATACATTATTCACCTTCCGGAGTTTAAGATAACCCACAACAGACAAAACTGAAGAAAACCAAACAAGTGGCAGATAAGATTTATATGATTATCATTATCTTAATCAGTATGCTGACTGTTAATTACCAGTAGAAAGTTACTACAGTACAGATTAAGTGTACCACAGAAGCAGAGCTAGCTCCATTCTGAAAGCAAACTCCACCATGACTCTTTGTTCGATGCTCCATCAGAATGGCTATAGCTATGTTCCATCAAGGAACAGCTCTAGTCTGGAAACCATTCAGCCACACCATTGCAGCACAACAACCAACAAGGCCTTCTGTACTGGAGCTGGCTGTACATAAAGCTCCAGCAATTCTGCACAGCATTCCCAGAACCAGGAACATCCAGAAGAGCCGATGTGCATCCAGCCTCGCTTGTGAGGCCCAAGTCCAGCCCAAACATCCTATTAAACTGCACAAGCTCCAGAACAAGCAGCTAAACCCACCCAAGAGCGATGCAGGTGTGCTGAACTGTGCCCTGGGGAACAGCCTGCGCTCGACCCTGGAGCCGCGGTCCCTCCCGCAGCCATCTACCGAGCCCTGGGCAAGTCGCGGGCCCGGCTCTGAATCCAGGCTCCCTCCGGCCGCTCCTCACCGCCTGGCTGAGCCCGGGCAGCCGGGCAGTGCCCCCCTTCCCCTCCTGCTTTCTCTCAGCTCTCCGCGCCCCAGCAGCGGCGAA